CGGGGGGGGGGGGAGGTTAGCCATATGGCAGGGGCGAGGGGGAGGAAAGGGGGAAGCGGAGAGTTTTGCACTGCAGGGGGAGAAAATAAAAAAAAAAACCACCAACCCAACCCAACAAACTTTCATGAAAACTCCGAGTGCTCCCAATTTCATGAATGAGCCTTCCCTCCTCAGACCCTCCAGGACGGTGGGTCGGGCGCCGGGCTTGGTGTCCACGGTCACAGTGTGAGTTTATGGATGGGGAGTTTGATCTGGAAACGAATTTGCGGCTTCCTCGAGTCCTTTGCACACCACTGAGCTTGGGCTTGGGCTAGAGAGCTGGATGGACGGCCGTGAGCCAGCCAGGAGCAGGAGGCACTGAGAGAGAGGGGGAGAGACGAATCACTAACATTTATGAATGAAAGACACAACGAAAGGTAACCTTCGCCAGGAGCCAGCCCCTCCAAACCCCACTGCTCCGACGGGACCGGGAAAGCTCTTCTCTTCCTCTCTGCCTTTGCTTTGCCCAGCGCAAACAAACCCCAGTAATAAGCAAGCTAGGGGGCACGGCGAGGGCCGGAGGTGCCTGCGGAGGCGAGGGCAGCGCACGTCCGAGTCCGTCCTGTTTGAACACGCTCCGGACGGAGCTTTGATCCCCGCCGGGGAGCCAGCACCGGGTATCTCTGCTTTGTTGGCCGTCGCTATCTGCTGGCGATAAGGGGCGGCCGGGGGAGCTGCCGGGGAGCTGCCCTCGCAGCAGCCCTTCTGCTGCAGGCTCCGTGCGGGAAAGAGGCGAGCGGGGCCGGCGGGGCGATGGCCGCGGGAGAGGGGGCAGTGCAGCCCCAGGAAAGGAGCGGCGCGGGAGGCCCCTGCCCGCCCGCCTGCCTCCTGGGGAGGGCACCGGCCCGAGAGCTGCCCGCGGGGCTTCTCCCGCTTCCTCCCCTCCCGAGTCTGGCCCTCCTCCTCCCCCCACCTCTTTTTTCCTTTTAATATTAAACAAAAGAAAAGTTTGTCCTCAAAGTCAAGCGCCAGGATCCGGTGGTTTTTCTCTTTCCTAAGCGAAGGAGAATTAAGCCTATGAAGCGAAGGTGCCCCGAAGGGAACAGGGGCAGAAACGAGAACCGACGCCCGTGGAAAGCGCGCTCAGGCTGAGGTGCCCCTGGCTGGGCTCGCAGGGTCCCCGGCGGTGACTCCCGGCCCTTTGCACGCCCTCCACTAGTGCATCCTCGGCTCGGGTGAGTGCACAACCCCGCTATTGCTTCCACATGTTCCTCCAGGAAATCATCGGAGTCAGATCTGTGAGCAGCCCCTGGTCGGAATGCTAACAGGATACCGTAATGCTTGTGAATAAACAACAGGCTCCCAGTGAGTCAAAAGCGTGGCAAAAAAAAAAAAAAAAAAAAAAAAAAACAACTCAGGAAAAAAAAACACTGCACCCTGGAACTCTCTACCTGGGGGCGGCGAGCGCACCCAGCAGCCTGAACCCCTTAATTTGTGGAGGGAAAGGTCCTATCATGACTTGGGTCGGAGCTGCGGGCTCTCCCAGATTTAAGCCCCACGAAGATGTGAGGTTCAGATCGGCGGCAGCAACTGCCTTGACCTGGAGCTCCGAGGCCATCCCGCCCGGCCCTGCCGGGCTCGGGCCGTGATTTACCGGCGTGAACGCATCTGGTTTAACGTGCGGGGTGGCGGAGGTGATTCCTGGCCAAGTACCGTCAGGATGGGATGTAATGCGAGAGTTACTCTTGCAAAAAGAAAGGAGCAAAAAGAAGGGGAGGAGGCGCCTTCTGGTTGCAATTACCTGCCTCATTTGAATAATGCCTTTGTCATGATCATTATCGAGCGGTAGTTAACGGCTTCCACGTGGGATCTCACAAGACCCAGCGAAAAATAAAAATTGCAAATTCGGGGAGTGGCAAAGCTGCCTGCCAGGCCAGCCTGGCGCTGCGGGCGGGGAGCCCGCCGGTTTCTGCGGGGACCGGGACAGGGACGGCGGTGCCCCGGCGCCCCAGGCCCCC